TCCTCTGATCTGCTCAAACATCTCTGGGAGCTTAGGGCAGAGGTGGGCAGAGGCGTGTTCTAGGGACACCTCTCTTTGAGAAACACTGATTTAAAGGAACAAAGTGAGAATCCAAAGAAGACCTTTATTGGAGTGACCAGCATCCAGGCTTAAAAAAGCATCTCAAAACCTAAAATCTGCCTCCTGGAGAGGGATTAAGAAACTGCATTTTTAAAAGCTTTTTCCTTCCCCCTGAGGCTCACCTATACTAAAGTTTGAGGCTCTTTACTCTAACTAGGAGAGGGTGCTGTGGGTGGAGGAGGCAAACCTCTCTAACTTTCTGATTCAAATATTCATCACTTATGTTCTGATTTCTTTTCTGAAAAACACACAAAGCAGCCTGTGGAATTAGACACAAAAGTCAACAATCAAGGGGTTTCATATTAGAGGTCAGAAAATGTGACTCACATTCAGCATGTTGGCAGGTATATGGCGTTAGATATAGATGCGTTATGGGGCAGAATTTAAAAGGCATATGAAAGTTTCAGCTGAAAGAGGATATTAAAAAAAAAAAGGGAGGCCTGGTAGAAATATGAGGGGGCTGGAATGACCTGCTTCTACCTATTCCTAGACTGTCAAGATGTATCCTCACTCTGCTTTTCAATTTGAGGTCCCTAATGTAGTAGGGTAGTCACATCTTAGTATAAGTTTGTTTATAGTGGAGCTTTGTTTTCAGCATCTGAGATTTAAGAGTGCAGGGGATGCGTCCTATATGGCACGCATATGGTTTCTCTTTGGGAACAGGAAGGTGTCAGGAACTTGAAGGATGAGGGGAAGAGAGTGCCAATGGTGTGCCATTGTCTAGGACCTGCCTTGCTCCCTGTAATGTCTACTATGGGACATCAGGGTATTTTGATGGGTGATCATCCATAGTCAAGTTTTACCTCAGATGAAACTGGGTCTCCCAGCGTAGGGAATGTGGAGCTCTAAAATGTCCACAACTAAAACTCCATCCCCAAGGATGATTCTATCTCGGAAAAGATATTAAATGTTATTAAAATGTTCACTGTGCCAAGAGCCCGACATGCATCCTCATGCATTTTCCTCTAAGACATAGAGGAGGTATCTTAGGTTGGAATTTTCTCTAAAGCAGAATCTGAGACAAAAATCTCAGGTTGGTTGATGGGAAGGTGATCTGAGCAGGCATCGTGGTGCCACGGTGAGACAGAAAAGGGAGGGAATGTTGAAGGGGCGTGAATGGCCAGGTTGTACGGTGGGCACTGGGCCCACCCCGGTGGGGCTGCTTCAAAAGAACTGTGGAGAGAGATGTGGGCAGCGGAGAAGTTCTCAGCTGCAGATGAAGACTCAGAGTCTAAATGAGTTTGCACAGGGGTCAGCCGGGGAGAGCCATGAAGAGCAGCTGTGACTCTCTCTCTCCTAACTCAACTTTTTATTAAAGGTATGGACAGAGGAACAATAAATAGCACAGTTATGTTTATGCTCACACAAGTTAGTAAATTCCTGCTGGAATAAGTGTTTCTACCTGAGAGTCATCTCAGGAGCAAGGGAGCTGTGTCTCTCCACCACCCCTGACCTCGTTGGTTGGAGTTTCTGTTGGAGAGTGAACTCTTGGGCACGTGTGTTCTGCCTCATACCTGCAGTTGAACTTGCAGCTATGGTGGGAGATTACCGTCAGATGGGAAGCTGTGTACTTTCTGGAACTGTCCCTAGGTAACCTCCTGAGGCAGCCACTCGATTATGAGCAAAATGTCTGCTCTGGTGGGCAGCACCACCACTTGAAAGAGGAGAAAACAGACATTAAGGAATTCCCAAAGAGCTCAGATCTGCTAGACCAGGACACCCTTTGCATGTCCTTTTGTTAGAGTGAGCTCTAAGAAGTGATCGTGGGACCCAGGGCCCCCTGAACCTGCTCTCCACCTTCAAGGACCCCAGTGGCTGGCAAGTTAGGAAGTACCCATGGACAAGAATTGCCCACAAAAGCCCCTCTTGGCCCCAGAGACTGCTGCCTGGAAGTGGACACTCCAGGGAACCCACACTTCTGACGGGACAAATGTCTTGGGTTCTTCAGTACACAGCAGCATCGACTGTGTCCTCCTCTAGTCTGACAGGATGGAGACATGTAGTCTGCAGGGGGCATTAGGGCCATCAAACCAGAATCCGTGAGCAAAGCGGGCAAAGGTCTGAGACCAGAGACCCGCCCTTTACCCCAACCCTGTCTTTACTCGCAAAACTGGCGCTGTGCTCGCCTGCTTCATGCTTGGCCACCGACCCCTCTGGTGCTCTCTTCCAGGGCAGGCAATTCCGTGTGGTTATTCTCAGGGCACGGATTCAGAGTCGGCGAGGTCTGGGTGCAGGTCCCAGAGTCGGCCAGATCTGGGTGCAGGTCCCAGCTCTACTGCATGCCAGCAGTCTGGGCAGGTGCCCTAATGCCAGTGGTGGGGGACTGGAGTCTGTCGTGGTAGAATGTGCAGGATGACAGTCCCTTCAGGTCACTGAGGGGTCAATGGTTCAGGCACCCCCATGCGTGAAGTGCACTTAATGGGAGCTGTTGCTGTGGTTATAAGAATCATTATTGACGTATCCGGGAGGGCTGAGGTGGTATGATTTACCTGGGTGGGGGGGTGCACATTCACCTCCCCCCATCATAACGGTTCATTTACTGTTATGCAAGTTGCTAGTTATGCTGAATCACCACAGCCACATGAGCTCTTGTCCACCTCCCTGCTGGTCTTGTTGGGACACACGTGGCTTTGCCGGTCACCTAGATGCTAACATTATCAGCCTCGGACTTGAGTCGAAGTGTAGAAACCGTTTAGTGCGTGCGCAAGCGGAGACCCAGACGGGGGTCAGGAGGGTGGCAAGGCGGAGGCTGCGGTTCCTGCTCCTTAAAACTCCACTGCTTCCAAGGTTTTCCTTCTTTCTTTGGGGGTGCTCTTCAGGTGGCTTGGTCCACTTGGCACTCCTCCTCTCTGCAGGGAATGCGCCCTGCCAATGCCTTGCATCCTGTGGAAAGCTCAGAGGTTAGAGTGGCTGGGGTGGGGCCTGCTGTGGGCCTCACTGCCCTGGGCAGGGGCTGAGTTCTTAGCACCCAGCTTGCCTGTGGCATATAGAGCAGAGCGGGGACTTCTGGCCTCCCAGGAGGGGCTCTAGCTCCCAAGGACACTTGGGCAGATGACAGTTCTTTCCATACACCTTAAACCTTTTGATTGAAACCCAGAAGACTTGTCAGGTACTGGAGGGGAGCTGGGGCTGGGCTGGGCGTGGTGTGCTCTCTTCCCCTGGAGCTGGGGCTGCTGGACTCCCAGGGCTGCTCACTCTCTCCCCTCCCAAGGGTATTTTCTGTGTGACTTAGAATAAGTATTGGGTCATGTGGATGTTACTATGGCAACCAGTATTTTAAATAAAAATAGTCCTACACCCCCGGAGCCTGTCAGTGTGAAATGCGCCTATAGGCAGTGAGAGGCTGTTGGCATCTGCATCCCTCCAGCTCCCAGCAGCAGCCTCCTAGCACCCCCAGGTCCAGAGGGCAGAACCTGCAGCTCTGCACGTGAGTGGGGCTCCAGGCCTTTGGGGGGTGCAGGTCGCTTGCACGGCAGGTGTCCCCAGTGGGCCAGGGGTGCTGCCTGGCTCTCCCTCCCTAGGCATCTGCCAGCAATGGAGGACACTGGTGCAGCTTTCTAAGTCTTTTCTGGCAAATAAACTTTAACTGACTCAAGACAGGCTTTTCTGCAGGTCTGCTTCTGGGGATCCCAGGGAGACCAGGATTTATGTGCAAGTACTTGCTTGGGAGATGATCCAAGCACGTGCAGGAGAGTGAGGAAGCGAGGCTGGGAAGCCAGCAGCTGTAGGGGCGCCTTTTCACAAGCTGTTACCCCTCAAGGGCAAGGCAGCTGCTGGACTTATCTAGCAGATCCCTCTCCTCTTGGGGGTGGGCACCTGCTTAAGGTTTTAACTCTGCACTTCCAGCTGGACCTGGGAGCACACAGCTTCACAAATATCCTGGCAGTCTCTGGTTTTGAGGGGAATTTTTTAAAAAGATCTATTTCTTGATGCATACAAGAACTGGGGTACAGGCCAGAGGACTCACCAGAGGCAGAGTGGGGAACAGAATAGGTAGATTGAGCGAAACACACTGCTGAGGGGAGCAGTGGGCGATACAGGAGCAGTCTGCTGCACCCACGTGGGTCACCTCTGGGGCCGGGGATGGAACTTGTGCTGCAGTGGCTGCTATAGCTTCACAGTGCTGCACTCCAGGGAGGCCCCTCTGAGGTGGATTTTATTTACTGGATGTGGGCATTGGGAAACTGCAGAAGGCTGTCAGCCTTCTGCATGCCAAAGAATTTCCCAGCTATCAGAAGTGATTTAGGGGTGGGGTAAGGACTTAATGTGAAAAGTTAGAATTAGAAACAGCCTTGTAAAGATATCGATCCACCTTGAGACCTGTGAAAGGTTTTAATCCCAGAAGCCTGATGATGAGGTTGGTAGGGTCAAGCCACTGTCCTCCACTGTGGTTGTGAGTGAAGAATGGGCTGGGTGCCGGAGGGCTGGACCTCTTGGAGGACAGGGAACAGTGGATGACCCCAAGCAAGCGTTTGTGGAAGAATTCGAGTGCATCCTTGATGCAGTATCTGATACTTTAGGGAATGAAACCATTAAATTAAGTCCTACTCTTAAGAGTAGGCGTGACAATGGACCAGAAGCACTCCAGGGAACACGGACGGCCACAACCAGCAGTTTTGTTTGGGGATAGCAAGAAACGAGGGTCCTTGGCATCGTTCCAAGAAAGGATTTCACAAGCCACAGCTTATTAGCTGAGCAGAGGCTGAGGGCTGCTTCCAGCCAGAGCAGAGATCCGCCCTGGAGTTTAAGGCTGCTTCTTTCTGGGTGGTGAGGGGTCCCCTTTAATTATGCATATCTTGCTCCCCTCTCCCTTCCCTTCCTATCTTTTGAGTTCCTGGGAGAAACTGCCATGATGGAGGTGGAGGCCTTTGACAACAAAGTTCAAAACACTAAATTTATTGTGCAGTTACATAAAGACTGGGCAGAGGGTAGTGCCAGACCATGGCAGACCAGGGCTGTGCCACATGTGGGTTCTCCCCAGACTCCTGGGCCAGCCAGATCTCATCCAGTCTTTGAGACAAGGTGTTGGCACCAGTGGGGTTTTGGGATGTAGGACTGTGGCTATATCCCCTGGGGGCTTGTGAAGGGACACTCTGCCTTTTCCTGACAGCTTAGGCAGGAGTAAACAGGTGAGTACATGCTAGACATCATGCTTTGAATTCTTGGCACACTTTAAGGCAGTGCGGGTGTTTCTCCTGTTCATGTCCATTGAACTTCGTTCCCTCTGGCTGCTCCATTCACCTTCAGAAGATGGTGCCTTGACCTTGCCTTGGAGGCAATGGACACATCTGGCCATCAGCGAACACACAGTTGCTTCCCCAAGCACCTCACCACCTCCTGGGGCAATGAGACCAGATCCCTGGAATTTGATCCTTGAGTGGGATGTTCCAAGGGCTGGATTTGACTGGAGCTGGTCAGGTGTCAAAAGTGCTGTCCTGAAAAAACAACAAAAAATGGCTCGCCGGTACTAGAAGAGTGTAAAATGATTGCGTCCCTAATTCTTGGTTCCATTTATGAGTACCCCATAGCAACCTGATATTCTTATTCCTTTTCCTGTTCAAGAGTCTATTTTTGTTGCTTGCAATGGGAGAAGCCTGACTGCTCCTGATCCCTTTGAGAACCTCTCGCTGTTGCTACCGTGTGAAGTAGGTTTATTCAGAAATAACAGGAACATGTCTTAGCCCCATCTTTCCAGAGGACCCAACTGAGAGGGAAAGAAGAGGTGAAAGAGGTTTGTGTGAGGGGTAGGAGTGGAGAGATAGAAGCCTGTGAAAGCTGGAGGAAGCAGATAGCCACATAGGTCTGAAGGGGTCTCAGCTGCTCTGTGAAGGCCTCGCAGCTGAACACCTTGCTCTTTCCTGAAAGGCGACTTGAGCCTAAGAAAGGACAGAGACTGCTGGGCACAGCCTGTGTGCCCAGCACTGTCTTGGTTTCATCTGCTGTAGGCCTCCTGGTCATCTTGTGAGCTTGGTGTTGATGAAATGGACGCCTAGCCAGCGAGTGTGGGAGCTGGGCCTTGCACTAAGGTGTGTGTGACTCGAGGCTCCTGTCTCTGTCCTGGGGTGGGGGCTGTGCTTTCAGCTACTGCCCTCCTGTGACGAGGTCCTTCAGCCTCGGGGGCTGTGCATCACCCCTAAACTCGTCCTCTGTCGGGGTGGCGTGCATGTACATACGCCTGGGCTGTCTTGGGTCTAAAACTCAGCTCTTTCCCACCTGCCTTGCGTATCTGCTAGGAACTGAACTGTGTCCCTTGGCATTCACATGTTGAAGCCTAAACACTGGTGCTTTAGGATGTGATGGTTTTTAGAGACAGGGCCTGTAGGGAGATTGCTGGGTTTTAACAGCTCCGCTCAGGCGCCGAGACAGGCATTTTGCAGATCTCAGGAAGCAGGCTGAGGGCGGGGTTTGGAGGAGAAAGTCAATAAAAGGGCATCAGCCAGTCAATGTGGGCAAGGGAGCTCAAACCTATTGGACTGTGGGGGAGCTAGGCAGGAGGCTGGGCACTGGCTTCCCACATTGCTCAGGTGTGGCCTGCGCTGGGACCAAGGGTCCATTCAGGAGGCACCAGAAAGAGCCCCAACCCGCAGTCAGTGTGCAGGGACCGCCCCCATGGCCCCCACGGGCTGGGTCACAGGTGTGTCCACAGTAGCTGCCACCTCAGGTAGTTGAGGCTGGCAGCAGGTGCCTCCAGTTTCATGGTATCCATTCCCACACCTGTTGGGGGTGTCACGTTAGTCTGCTTTGCTGCTGTCGCTCAGTGACAACCTACTGAGTGGCTTAAGCAACAGACTGTCTCCTCACAGTTGTGGAGGTGGACGTGTGAGATCGAGGTGTCTCCTGAGGTGCAGCAGCGCCGTCTCCCTGTATCCTCACGGGCCCTTCCCTCATGTGTGCCTTCCTGGTGTCTCTGCTCTTCTAATACACTACTGTTCCTATCAGGGTAGTGCCCATCTTGCTGGCCGTATTTAACTATCCCCCTACAGGCCCTGTCTCTTAAAACTGTCATATCCCAAGGTACCAGAGTTCAGGGCTTCAACATGTGAATGCCAAGGGACACAGTTCAGTTCCTAACAGATCCAGGCCTCCTGCCGGCCTTGCGTGAGTCCCATTTCCTTGTAATGCAGGGGAAGGGCAGTGAGACACGTGGGTGCCCTGGTGGTTTTCAGATCAGGGACACCCTTCACCGTGGCCCAGCTTACTGCTAATCCAGAAGGTGGCTCAAGGCGCCAGGGCTTGGGGCCAGCTAGCTGAACTTCCCAGCCCCTGGGAACTGAGGTCTTGGGGTGAGGTCACCTTTCTTGTCATCCCTTCCCAATACCCCAGTCTACCTTTCTTCAATGTTAGTAAAAATGTTGGGGTGGATGTCACTTGTATCTGCTGCAGAATTGTACAATTCTCAAGCTACCAGAAGCATTGTTGGTTTCTTCACTCTTACAAACATCAACAGGCCCAACAGCAAGGACTCAAGAAACATCCCAGTATTCAATGAAACACCGCTGTAAGAGATGATTCTGTAAAGAACATTTAATGATTTGGATTTTTCACCCTATTACATAAAAAGGTTAATTACAGAGCAAACCATAGTGTGTTGTATCCATGCTAAAAAAAATACAAGGATCTAGAAGGACTAGAACTGTGGATACTTATATATGATAATGCAGAGTTTAAGTTTATCCGAGCACACTGTACATGTGCTGCTTTGCTGACAAGAAAACCCACACACACAGCTGCTCCCTGCTTGGCGTTGCTCTGGCAGATGCTGACGAGGACTAACTCTGCAGCTGTTCCATTCCATGCCCCTCTGGCTGCTTTTCCACTTGGGCTAGTCAAACCCTCACCTTTTATCAGTTCCTCCACTGCCAGGGCACCGAGTGATTGTTGTAAGTGGAGCGGAGGCGGAAGTTTCTGGGAAGTTGGTCCCTCTGCTCCCCTTCTTCTCGGAGTGTGGAGGAGATGTCTCGAGCAGCAGGAGCCCTCCTGTGACCACGAGCTGATAAAGGCAGAGCAGAAGGCAGCACGCGGGTTTTGACGCCGCCTCGAGTCCTGTACCGCCCCGCCCCACCTGCAGGCCTCTTATTGTAGGTGGAAATCCTGAATCAGTACTTCTCGCTAAAAAGACTCAGGCTGGTCTTGCCATCTATTTGGCATTGTCTGTGGCTCTGGGTGTCTTGTAGGAAAGGGAAGACGTCAAGCATTACTGTACCGAGAGAAGGGCACTGCCGAGCTAGTGAGTTACCTCAAACTTCTATGTGCCGGCTACTGTGCCAGGTGCCAGGGAGGCAAACAGCAACACAGACCTTGAGCCGGCGTTGCTGAAGCTTCGCACTTGGTGAAGACACAGGAGATTGCAAAAACATGCTTAATCTTGTTTACTTATAAATGTGCAGTGTTTTGAAGCAAGCATGTCATGCGACTGTGTAATGGGGGAGCCTGACCTGGAGCTCAAGGGATGGCAGCCTAGAAGCTCTCTTCTGTTGTCCTTAAACTCAGTAGGAGGCACCCCAAATTCCTAGGCTTATCAGCTGTCTCTGACCACAGTACCTCATGGAGGGCATTCTTCTCTCGTGCGAGCCCTCACCTCTGGCCTTTATTGTCTGTGTAATGACAGGTCTGGACTTGACCTTTCAGCTTCCTGGAGTTTCAAAAAAAAAAAAAAACATATTATATATATACACACACATATATATAAATATATACATTTATATAAATAAATATAAATATAAGAACTGCGGTACAGGCGATGAGAAGACTCACCGGAGACAGAGTGGGGAGCAGACAGAAAGATCTACTGAAATCCACTGCTGAGGGGAGCAGTGGGTAAGACAGGAGAGTCTGCTGCACCATGTGTGTGTCACCTCCCTGACTGAGCTCCAACTTCCTGGAGTTTAAATGAAGGCATCTGCGAGGAAGCCACCTATAGCACAGACTCGTGGTGAGGCCAGACACAGAGCAGACAGTAACTGCCCTTAGGGAGTTGCAGCCTAGGGGAAGGGAGCGGGTCACCAGGAAATGGTGCAGGTGTGGAGATGACTGGGCTGTGGACACAGGCAGAGCAGGGAAAAGCAGGAGCCTGCAGGGCAGGGGCCCCTTCCAGGGGGAAGGAGAGTAGTTCTTACCTAGTGGGGAGGGAGCTGTGCTCACACCTTGGGGAGTGTCTGCAGGGCAGAGTGTGTGAGGGCTTAGGGACAGCCCTGTAGGAGGAAGGGGGACGCTCCTCCTACAGGGCTGTGGGCAGCGCAGCTCTGAGCCCTGAAAGCCGATGTCTGCTTCAAAGGGATTGTACACCAGCATGCCTGTTCCAGTTATTCCCAGCCAAAGACCAAGGCCAGTGGTGCAGACCTGGTGACCCATGTGGGAGCTGCAGTGATGCCTCGGGCCCTGCGCCAAGGAAGCATTTCTGTACTTTTGATGCCTTTAAGTGTGTTTGGCTTTGTAATCATAAAAAATATCCAAATCATTTTTATAAAAAGGCAGTGGTTACCTCTGGGGACAGGATTCTAAGGGACCTTCGGTTCTGCATGTCTGTATCCTTTGGATTTTCGAGAGGATGGTTCTTTGAACAGTGGTTTCTCTTCCTGCTATTTGTTTCCTGTCTATAAAGGTTGCTGGTCATTCCTCTAGGCAAGGTACAAAAAGAAACAGCAAAGCCAAAGATAGAAGAGAATTAACTGAGTTTCGGACCTGGAGTCAATTATACATGCGGCTGTGACTCTGCCTTTGAGTCGGCCCCCAGGGAACAGCCTCGCCTATTAACTCCGGGAGGGCAGGGCTGCTTTTTTGGCACTTGCAAAGCTTTCTTGCCCAAACGCCAGTGTTTCGAATTGAAGCTGTGTAGAAGGTTTGAAGGCAGGTGGCCTAGGAGGAGGAAGGTACAGAGCAGGGGTGGAAGCAGAGGTCAGGGCCTGGCAGTGCCTTCAGCAGCTATGTGACCTTTCTGGAGTGACTGCTTTAAAGGGCATTGGAAAAATGGATACAAATAAACAGTAAAACCTAGTGCTGACATATCCTCCAGCTGCCTGGAATACTGGTTCCTCTTGGGGGACTGAGGTCACCAGCCTGATTTCCAGGTGGCAGAAGGACAGAGGCAGGGAGACCCCGAGACTAAGGGGTCTGGGGTTAAGGGAAAGGTTCTTGACCTCTCCAAGCCCGTCCCTCACCTGAAAATGGGAATGAGGACGCTGCTTCCCTTCCAGGCTGCTCTTTGCCTAAACGAGATGGCACAGGCCAACAAGGTTGTGGGGGCCCCGTCTCTGTTCTGGAGCAGGAAGACCATAGCGGGACAGGCTAGCTCGCCCTTCCAGAGTCTCTGCATCTCAGTAAAACAGGACATCATGATGCGACAAGGCCTGGGCACCTGTCTTTCCAAGGCAGATGGCAGGGCCCCTGCCCTGGACCCCAGATTCCTCAGTCTTGGGTCTCCTGCCACTTGGAAATCAGGCTGGTGACCTCAGTCCCCCGAGAGGAACCAGTACTCCAGGCAGCTGGAATTCAGCATTATTTTTATGCTTATTTTTATCCACTTTTCCAGTGCCTTTCAAAATAGTCACTTCAAACTCTTTTTGGCCCTGTGAAATGCTTTGGGCTTTTTTTTTTTTTTAGGGGACAGAGGGTATGGTGGAACAGATTTTTATTGCCTTTTTCAAATTCCATCAAAAATCAACAACATGGTGAATGAAAGCTTTGCCTTTGGCTCTGTCTGGGAGGCCTGTGGACTCTTCCTGGAATTTTGGCAAAGTGAGAGCATACTTTCCCCAGTCTCACTGTAGTAGGTGAGATGTAGTCGAGGTGTGTGTGTGGGGGCTTCTGAATAGAAACCCTCACATCACCGTACTGTCTTAACAGTGGCCAGTACCTACTATGAGACAGGTGTGGGGTGCTGACAGTGGTCTTGGTGGTGGTCAAGGAGCATGTGAAGGCTTTTGGGGGCCTACTGCAATGTGCAATGACATGCAAAATCAAACAAGAATGCCCACCTCTCTCCCTGCCATCAAAAATGCAAGCATACTGCAAGATACAAGAGTAACAAAACACTTCAGTGTGTTGTCTTAGAGGCAGGGCGTCCCCAAGTTAGCTGCCAATCACAAGAGGCTTCTAACTGCTGAGACGGTGCCTGGGCTGCGTGCTCGCTCTCCTGTGGCCCAGGAAAGGCCCCTGGATTGCTCCAGCACATGGCTGCACACCCCAGCCTGCATTTTAAGAAAAGGAGTTCCTTACACGAACACAGCTCCATCAGCAATGAATACAAATCAGAGCCTTTAAATAGGTGGCAGATCACTTACGCGGTGGCCTGTGGTGAGGGACAAAGAGACAGACCTTCCTTCTGGGCTTGTCAGTTCAGGTGAAGAAGGGCAGGGTGAGGCTGTCAACCCAGAACACGGAGGGATTTACTTCTGAAATCCAAAAAAGTGAGCTGAAGGACAGTTACTCAAAGTACGTACGTGAAGTGTCCTCACTGTCCACCACCCTGACCCGCACGCCTGGGCTATTGTACCTTTGGAACTGGCCTCAGTTCTCCACTGGGGGCACTTCCAACTCCCTAGAGGCTTTTTTTTTTTTTAAAGCAGATTGTCAGGTCTTATCCCAAATTTCTGATCCAGCATGGACTGGGGGAGTGGAGGATTCCCAGGTGATGTGGCTGGTACAGGGCCTAGACTTTAAGAGCTATTGCTCTACAGGTTTCTTGTGCTCTTTGCTGTGTTCCTGTGAGAGCTTCCTCAGCTGAAATGGTAGCAATTATCAGACCCCCAAATAACGCCTAAAACTACAGTGACAGGGACATGGCTGTGCAGAGCAACTTCGGGGTGGGGAGGTGCCACCGCTCAAGCATAAGTGACTTTAAAAAGACACATGCAAAGCTCAAGGTAGGACGCTCTCTCTTTTTCTTGCAAAAAGAAACCCCTTTTGATTTTTCTCGATTAGTGACAGCCCATACTGATGTGGGTCTTCCGTGAAGGCAAACTAGTGTAACCTGAACTTATGAAAAGTGGGGTGTACCTGTAAGCATTCAGGAAACCTCCATTCCAAACTGGGCTTTCCCTGGCAGTGCTGACCTGAGGACACATCGTGGGTGACAAAGTGTCTGCTCTGACAGGCTCCCTGCAACCCTCTCATTTGGAGTGTGGTTAGCGTGAAGGTAGGGCCCCGAGCTAAAATTGTAAAGGGTTTGTAAAGATTCTCAATTTGGCACTTCAAATAGCATGAATCACCAAATCAGATAAGTGGGGACAGGTGCTTGAGTTTTTGTCTGGCAAGTTGGCATCAAGGCTACCTACACGGAGGGTCTGGCGTGTTCTGGAGGATAAGTGCCTATTTTCTGTGCAGAAGGACACATTTTGGAGATGCAGCCATGCTGGGCAGGTACGTGGACCAGGCCTGGGCGGAGAACTGGGAGGCAGGCCCAGTGCTGGGCCCCCCACATGGCAGCGTCCGGTTCTCAGGGGCAGTCTTGGTCTCCGAGCCCCTGACCTCTGCAGGGCCGCGAATGAATTAATCAGCTTAACAAAATTAAGTAGCGCTTCCTCTGGTTTCTAAACAGTTCTCTCTCTGGACATGACCCCATTTTTAATTTTATTAGGTTTTTAATCAGGTTTCATGGTGAAGCACTTTAAACAAGGTTAGAGTCTAACCTTTTAGAAAGGCACAGAAAGGGAGAGCAGTGGCTGGCCTACCTGGGTTAAGAAGCCAGAAAAGGAGTCTGAGCTTGGAGTGGCTCCCAGCGTCCCTGTCAGTGAGTCTTGGGATCTCCACACTCAGTGGGTGAAGCAGAGGCTCCGGCAGGGTCCTGGGTCTGAATGGCAGTGCCACCCGTTATCAACAGAGGGGATGGGATGGTCTTGGTACTTACCTGATAAGCTGGTCACATGAGCTGCCCGTCGCGAGGAAACTGAGGCATGGAGTCAAGGGCAAAAAGCAGACAAAGGGCCCGGCTCGCTGCTCCTCCCTGCTGGTGCATCCTACACGCAGTCTGTTGCCCCTGAAAGGAAACCAAGACTTAGGGCCAGGGGAGGGAGGTGAGTTTGACCTCAGCAGATATACGTGGGTCAGGCCGCGCTCATCCGTTCACTGACCAAGGCTTGGAGCGCAGCAATGAATATGCTCCTGGGAGGATGTTCCACTAATGAGTGTTCCAAGTCGGCTGAGCACCAGCCGCCAGACCTGCGGGTCTCAGGGGCTGGATTGCAGGGAGCTGTGCTCCATGCAAACCTGGAGCACAGTGAGGCATCAGTCATGGCGGCCAAGTGGGGGTGCTGGGAAGCAGCACTGCAGGCAGGGCTGAGCTGGGCTGGAGGGGGCTTGGTGAGTGTGAGATGGCTGCGTGCCACTCGAGGGGTCCCATTAGGATCAGCATTGAGACCCACTCTACACAATTTGCAGGTGGGGGTGGAGAAGTTCACATAATGCGGTGTATGTTTTGCAAAGAGGAGTCTGACCGTAACATGCAGAAGAGCTGGGGTTAGACTGAACATGGGAGCGCATGTGGGGTGGCTGATAAGGCAGGAAGACTGGTTAACACAGTCTGTGGGTTCTTGCCCAGAGACTGATGCAGCAGCTGTGAGGGTTTGGGGGGCAGAGTTCTGCCACCCCAACCAGACTGGGGGTGACAGAGGCTTGGTGGTAGGGGAGCTGATAACTGGACTGCAGTCTACCCACTGGAAGAAGGCAGGACCCTCTCTGAAAAACTGGGACGTACCCTAAAGTTACTTGTTCTCCAGCAGAACTTAGTATAACCTCAGAGATGCCTTAGTGATCTGGGGACCCAGAGAGGGGCAGAACTTCACAGAAATGGTTGACTCACCCCAGCATTCCAAGGCCCAGGGCTGCGTGATGACCCAGGCTCTGTCTCTGTGACCCTGACGCTGTGCAGTGCTTACACGGTGCTTCCTGGGGACAGCAGCATGGTGCTAGGGACACAGACAGGTTCTGGGTGCGTCTGTCCTGTGGAAAGCCAGCGTGATGGACACCCTCTGTTCTTAGTATTTCAGAAAGGACATGAGTCATCCCAGACGCCTCATCTTTGCACTCCTCCCTCTGCTCTGAATGACGGTGTTGCCTGTTAGACTTAAGTAGCATGCAAACGCTGGACAGGCTGCCCCATGCACGGGTCGCGTACTCACGATGGGGCCATGGCAGCTCCACGTCCAGGGAGGGCCACTGTCCTTGGCGCTCATCTGGCCTGGGACAGGGACCCAGAGAGGCGCTTGGTCTCTGGGATAGAGAGCCAACAGCTGCAAAAGGCCCCCCTCCTCCTCCCGGAATGTCCCCAGGCAGCCCACACTGTGACCAGGGCCTCCCTGCCCTCCTCAAAGCCACCCCACCCCAGGAGCTGCGCATTTAGCACCCTCGGCCCTCTGAGCAGGGACTCCACCATCACTGTGGGATGCAGGGTTGTGCTTTTTTTCTCTGCAAGAAGCTAGTGCTGGCAGGTGTGAGTTCTCCTTTAAAAGTGGGGCTGCTGGTGTTTGGGGTAAACAGCCTCAGGGTGCCAAAGGGGTAGGTTCAGGCTGTCCCAGGATGAGCCGCCAGGAGCGCTGCCTGTGGTGGGGTGTGACCCTGGTGTTGTGAAGTAGCCGTTCTCAGATTGCAACGGCCTGATTCACAACACCAGCTGCCCCACCGCACCATGGACTGCTGGGAGGTCTCTGTGTCCCTTGGTGGTCCCGGGTCACGGCTGCGGTGCTGCTTCTGGAGTGTGGAGAGGGGACAGCAAGAAGTCATGAGTTAGTGTGTCTGCAGTGTGGGCAGACCCTATACTTCACCCCCCAACCCAGCCCTGCGAACAGCTTTCTTTGTTGTAGTGCTCTTTGCCTGCCTTCTTAGCTCTTGGGGTCCCAGGTGGGGATCAGTGGCTCCAAAGAGCCCTATACCCAAACTGATCTGTGCAGGGGGCTTCTCTGGGAGGGGACTCACCGCCTTTCACAAGTCTTCAGAGGACATAACTGTCCTCGGCTTGCATGGCTCTACCAGGGGCGCCATGCAAGTTGAAGGCCCATCCTCTACCCACTCTCAGGGCTGTGAGGGAGGACGAGGCCCAGAAGGAGCCATCAAGGATGGAGGGCATCTCCCTAGTGCCGTCCTCCCCATCGGGAGCACATGCCAAACAAAGTAAGGGTCGCCACTAGGATTGGGGACAGTCATGCAAGCTCACGAAAGCTGAGGCTGGCCAGGGAGGGAGGTCAGGTGGCCACGTGCCCACAGTGGCACTGTGCCCTGACTTCATCAGCGGGTGACCGGCGGGGTACCTCTCTCCCGGCTTCAGAAACACTCAGCAGTGAGATGACTTTGAAACTCTACTTTTGGTATCTGCCTGGATTTTACCACCATTATGAAATTATGTAACACCAACTGACATGAAAATAGCATTTGAAGTTTAATCCCTATTTCCAGGTGTCGATTAAACACTTTCAAATGAACAGCTCTTTGGCCCAAAGTGGCTCCTGCCTGCTGCGTGGTTCAGTTACCCAATCATGAAAAATCACATTTTCCACTTTCTGCCATCTATCTTGGAACTTGCTTTATTTTAAGGATGCAAAGTTGGCAAGTTTCTAGTACTGGATGTGGCACCGAAGTCCTGCCAAAGTTCTTGCCAGAGCTGGGGGAGGCAGAACTGAGTAATTCATCAATCATAGCTCAGCGCTGTGCTATGTAAACCACAGTGCCTTTGGAGTTCAGAAATGTGTGGGTTTTCATGTCGATAGTCAAAGAAGCCCTGCTGGGACAGAGGCCACTGTCTCCACACTGGGACCTCTGTGAGCCAGGCACTGTTCTAGACACTTTGATGCGCTTGCCCTCAAAGCCTCATCACCCCAGGAACACTGTGAGCTATCCCTGTGCCCTTTGGGCTGGGAATAGGAAGCTGAGGTGCTTCCAATTAAGTTTCCTCACCTGCTGAAGCAGACAGTCTCTGGGGTCCCCCAGTTCTAAGGTCTGGGGGCTGCAAGCAGGTGGGACTCTGTGTGCCTTCTGATTCTGTCCTTGCCTACTTATGTTCTAGGTCAAGTTATTGAGCCTTCTGGGTGTTGGCTTCTGTATCTGTAAAACAGTAAAAGTAAGACTGAGAACACTTGCATATAGCAATGTGTGTGGTTGGACACTGACATGGCTGGCTTTCTGAGCATTGCATAGAGACACCGCAAACTATGGGGCTGGATCATCTGCCTTTAGGGCCAACAATTGCTCATTCTGATGAACAAATTCCAGAAAGTGGTATTATTTCCTTGTAAAACGAGGGGGAGGGGCTATAATTGTGTGTTCGGAGTCTTTAGCACAGATAATGCTTTTATGGATGAGTGTGGATATGGGGAAGGCTGTATCAGTGGCAGGTGAGACCCACACAAAGAAGGAAGTAAAAAAGCAAACAAACCTATAATAAGCCCAACTTTTGGCCTCCCCCATCCCTGCATCTGAGTGGCAGAAGTTTCCTTGGGAGTAGCTAAGAGCAGGCCCATAAATACACCTATCTGCAGCCAACTCTACAAGTTGGTTGTGTCTAGCACCCACCAGCATCCAGGTGGCCAAGGAGGGAAGGAGGAGTGATTGACATAGGTCTTCATAATTGAATGGAGGACTGGCATCCTGCAAGGGCCGGCCCCACCCTTATTCTTCACTGCTCTCCTCCTTGCCTCTTGCTTTTCTAATTTCTCAAATATGCCATGCTCCTTGCCACCACAGTGCCTTTGCCCAAACTACTTCCTGGACTCCCACCCCCAGACCAGCTCTGATGCTCCATAACTTGCTCGCCAGGTGGCCTGTGCTCTTCCTTCAACCATCACACTATGTGAGTAGACAGAGTTTCTTGATTTCACTTGCTTGACCACTGGATCCTCACTATTGACTGCATGGAGGGAATCCTGATCATTATTCGTTGGTGAGTGAATGATTTAACTAAGACTCTGGTAACTAAGACCCAAAGTGACACCAAGTATTTTAGGGACACGCACAGTGTTATTTTGTAATGAAAGATTTACTACAGTAGACTGACTGCTAAAACTCCTGTCAGTTCCCTGTCTCCAGACAAACCCCACCTTGATGCACAGGGAATAAGGATTCTTCCAGAGGGTCAGTTTGATCTAACTTATCCTCTGCAAGGCCCCACCTGAGCCCCAGATCCTCTTACCCCTCGCTCTCCCTCTGGAGCTGGAGCACCCCCAATACACGTGTGCTTGTGGGCCTGGGCCCTGCCCCTTTCTGCCCAGGGCTGCTGCTTCCCTTCTGAAGCTGGCTCCTGGCCCTCACTCAGCCTGAGTTCTTGGGCCACCCTCTATGGCTCTTGTACCTATTGGGTCCTGCCATTACTGCTTGCCTTTCAGTCTGTCACTCTGAGGACAGAGGCCACTGTGGCGTCGTCACCTGGCAGCACCCAGAACAAGGGCTTTCAGCTTTGACAGCACATCCGTCAGTGAGGAATGCCCTACAAAGTTGGGGACAAAGTTACACAGCAGTAAAAAAAATTGTCCTTGTTGTCCCCTATTTATCACAAGAATGTCTAGAAAGTCTTACTGTTTCTCCATCAAAGTCCACTTCTTGATCTCCATGGGCACCTCGCTTCCTGAGCCCCAACCCCCAGCACCGCTCACCTGGATGGGGTGACGTGCATCTCATTGTGCCTCACTGTGATCCAGTCTTCACGCTGAAGCCTGAGTGAGTGATCTTTTTACAACATGAATCAAAGTATATCACTGTCCTGCTTCAAACCCTCATTCAGCCTGTTACATCCAGAAGGAAGTCCAGGTCCCTGGCGGAAGCCTGACCCAGCCCCACCAAGCCCCGCCTCCTCAGGGGCCTGGCTGCTGGTCTGGCTTTCAGATTTTGCGAGGGCCAAGGCTTAGGCATGCTCTGCAGTGTAAGGATGCGGGCCCTTCCCACAGATGGCCCCAGGAAGCATCCCCTCTGCCCTAAGACGGCAGCGGCCTGGCCAGCAGGGCTGCTCTGCTGACACATACCCTCGTTCCTTCCCACTTTGGGGCCTTTGCACCAGCTGCTGCCTTCCTAGGGACGTCAGCTTACCCAGGGGTTTTTAAGAAAATACAAGATTTCTTCTAGGATTCCAGAATCTGGCACCCGTTTTAACCAAAGTCTTTTATGTTCCACTTTGGCCTACTACGTCAGCTCTCCTCCACTTCCCACTCAGTGGGTTCAAGCCAGCTAATTCTTCCTTTCTTTAAATGACACATACTGATTGTTTGGGGTAGGCAATACCAAGGACATGACCTTTATTTAAGCTTTATAACGTCAGATGTCTTGGATCAACACAAACCATTTTTTTTCCTGCCTGTTACTTCTGGAAAAAAAGTTGAGGGCAACAGAAATGCAGGGCATGTGACCTCATCAACCACCAAGTTGGCTCGGGGTCAGATTCCATTCAGTTGTCACATCTACCCAGAGATGGGCTGGTGCTGGGTGTGGAGACTGAGGCTACCCCACTCTGAGGCCCTTCAGATGATTAGGGAGTAGAGCCCAGGAATCTAGCCCCCACCCAGGGATTCTGATCAGCCATATTTGGGGGTCACTGCTGTAAATCTAGGGCTCTGTTGAAGCTCGTGAGCCTCAGTGCCATGGACTCTGATAGGGCGTCAGAGTCTCCAGAGGAAAATAAAACCTCTTCCACACAGTGGGCCCGGGTGTGCCCAGCCCCAGGAGCCTCTCCTAGCCCAGCAGTTACCCGGTGGACAGTACAACCTGCACTGGCTCCTTGCCCGCCCCCTCCCGCCCCTGGCTGTGCGCCAGTGTCTGGTCATCTTTGAAGGCATCCCATTTTCACTGGTGTCTCTTACCTCTTTTCTGCGGTCACTTTCAGGGGCCCAGTGAGGGCCAGGCACTTACTCTCAGGTGTGGACTCAATGTCCAATGAGCTGGAGGGTGAATGCCTTCTAAAAGTTGGAGTCCTGGGCATCTTGCTTGTGCTCCCGGGTCCCAGCCTGACGTTCAGGGAACAGGAATACATGCATCAGGCAAAACCACCCACTGCAAGTCGTAATTTGCTAGTGTGTTCTCCCTATGTCTCCTCATAGACGACAGACCTCTCAATGGAGGACCGAAGTGGCCCTGAAGCCCACAGGTTTTAGAATCATTCTGCACGGTCAGTGGTCAGATACCGTAACAGGCACTTACAGCAGCACGTCTGTTCTAAGATGATGGCAGAAATAGACCCAGAGGCCCCCTGGGAAGCCGGCCTGTCTTGGCTGATGCCTTCTAGGTGGGCTTTCACATAAAAACTCTGGGTTCAAAGAGGACTGCCTGGCCTGCTGGGCCCAGCCTGGAGTTTATTAGCACAGTTAATATCGCATGCAAATAGATTTCCCCGCTTTGGTCATGCCAGTCCATTAATTCAGCCTCTTGTCTGCTACATCTTTATCCTTGGCAGGTTAATCCTGCCAAATGCCTCTGCTATAGCACATGTCACGCTGTGCCTATGTCCAACAATGCAATTTTGCTAATCCTGTTGCATCAGTCTGTAGCGCTGTCTGGTCAATGCAGTGGTGGAAAAAGTGCATAGAAGGTTTTTGCCAAGGTCTTTCTCCTACTCGGGCACCCACTCCTTCCTTTTTTAAAAAATATAGTTTCCATTAAATGGCTTGAAAGTGAACCACAGTGTTTGGACAGCTGCCAATGCCAGTGTCTTTCAGACAAGAATGTCAAGGCTCTCAGCAGGCCTCCCAACTCTTTCCAGCAGCTTCACCCAGCCGTCAGCTGAATACGCTAAATAGGAGGGGGTTAAAGCAGGAAATCCCACTAAACATCTTTTTCTTAGGGGCTTCACACATGAAAGCACGAGGATGATTGAATGGAGGGTCTCTGGATCAGCCACTCTCTTTGGTCGGCGCCATCCTCTTTAGAGAGTTCAGGGGAATCATCTTGCTGCCACTATCCCTGTCAGGTCCCCATCTGAAACAGGAGACGCACCACGGGGAGCTACTGCTCCTCTCGTCCTTGCCCCGGCCCAGGTCAGGAGCATGAAGCAGCAGCCAGATCTGCTCTGGCTGGAATCTTGCTGGATTGCTTTCTACCTCTGTGACCCCAGGCAAGTAGCTTGACCTGTGTGGCCTCAGTTTCCCCACGTGTGAAATGGACACAACCACAGCGACTGTTGCACAGGGCTTCTGGGAGGACTCAGCAAGTTAGCACATGCTCATCACATACTGGCACTGGGGAATTAGTGTCGATTGTGAAATCTGTCAAAATAAGACCTGTGGTCATTTGTAGCTTACTGAAACCCATATGCAAAGGGCTTTGTAAACTTCCACACGGGCATGTCCTTGTCCTTTAGGGTCCTCAGATGGAATCTGCACTCTCTTGCCTATTGATCGCAGCCCTGTTGAGCCTCGCAGGCTACCCGCAGCGCAGAGAGAGGAGGCTTTCCTGCAGGGTAAGTGTTTAGAGCCCTCGGGACGGAGTACTGGGTCTCTACAAAGTCTTCTGTCTGGGTGAGGGGCTTGAGACACTTACACTCCTCGAGGCTAGAGTGAAAAGTGCAGGCCAGGTGCACGGCCCTCTGCTGAGAACACAGTCATTGCCCCATAAATAATGACTTATGGCTATGGAGTCCCCTGCAAGGCACCAGGGCTTCCCTCTCCAGTTTGCCATCCATCTGCCTCCTAATCTCCCCACAGCCTTCATGGAAAGGTTGTGAGAGCTACGTGGGATCGTGTAGGGAAAGCCGCCAGCACAAAGCCTGGCTTCCCACCCGGGCTCCAGAGACGCAGCCACGCTCACACTCCTGACTCGGGTCCTGTCTGGGAAGGCCTCAGTTCCCCAGGCCCTCGAGCACCAGTCTGGACATTAGCCTGCAGTCTGAGCCCTCTACAACTGATGAGCAGGTTGGAAATGACAGATGTGCGTGTAGAGATTTGAACCTGGCCGCAAGCTGTCTGGACAGAGCTGAACGAATGCTGTGATGGGCGTGTGTAGGATAACCTCAAGGACGCGTGGATGAGCCTGCTGCAGCACCAGGAGGGACACTTCTGGCCCTGGCCCACCCCCTGCTAAAGGGAGCACTGTTAGTTGAGAACTTACATGTCCTCTTTACTGTGAGTCACTTCACACTTGTACCTTCTTGAATTCTAATCGCAGTAGACTGACTTCCCACGAAACACTAAAGTGCTGAAAAAAGACAATGAAGAATGGGCGGTGACAGCTCACTTACCCAAGTTGCAGCTAGAAAGTGGCAGAGGGCGGTGGCTCAAGCTCAGCTCTGTGGCTCTCCCGGCCACATGACAGTCTGTGGTGTGATGTCATGTCGTCTGTCAGGCTCCTGGGTCAAAGGTGCTCCTCCGTTACAAATCATGTATTTGCTCCAAGTGACAGCTATGCCAAGCACAAATTTTCCTTTAAAAAATGAATCAAATATTTAGCCTGTTTTCTTTTTTTGAGGGGCAAGAACAACATGGCAAACAAATCGACACACCCAATGCCTGGAACTTCTCTTCTGCAAAAATTAGGAAACTCTAGCATGCTGTAGCGAGAAGCCAACCCCACCACATACATCTTAATCCAGTTTTCATTTGCCAATGTCTTGACTAGGAATAAAGCTATTTGCAAAGTGAGCAGCTCTGACTCCTGGCCTCCATGGCACGTTCAAGTCCCCAGAGGACTTGACAACCTGTGTGTTGCCCTGGCAGAATTCCTGCTGAGAGGGCAGCCCACCTAGCGTGGGCCTGGCGACAGCCATGCTCACCTAGCAGAACATCAGCACCCCTGGATAAAAGGCTGCCCCCGGGGGTCCCTAGCAGCCCCTCCTGCAGGGTCAGCCACGCCCCGGCCAGACAGTGGCCCTGCTCCTGCTTCCCCACAGTGGCTTCCCCACAGTGGCTTCCCCACAGTGGCTGGCTGGATCTGGGGTAGTCTGCGGGAGGAAAGGAAGGTTGGAGCAGAGGAACAAGCCCTCCACAGCTGAGACGCCTGCTCTGTGACTGGTGCTGGGAGAGGCTATTTTACTGGTTGATTCACTGTTGCCGTGAAGACTATTTAGCCTCATGGAGGGGAGGTATGGTGTCCTTTTCTTTATGGTGTGAACCTAGTGCCTTTGTTAGCTATTTTTTTTTTCTTTCCTGTTTTCTTTTTGCCCAATCAAAAAGTTGGCTAAGTCTTCTCTATGGTGGCTGTAGGGATGTGCTTGGAACCTGACCCCTGTGAGAGTGAGGGCAAGTTTTCTCTCCTCAGCAGGACTTAGCAGCAAAGACTGCATGCAATCCAAGCAACCCAGTTTTCACTTCGTTCTGCTTTTCTAATTCTTCACTGAATTTGAAAGTGCTTGAAGGTTGTTGAATTTTCCCATTTCCCCCCTTTATTGCGGTCATCTCAGTGAGGAGCTTTTTGAGGGTGTGTGGGAGGGGGTGATAACAGGAAAGTGAAAATCCCACACGCATTCCTCAGAAGTGGCTGAGGCCTGAGGTGCTAAGAGCTTCCAAAAGGGCTGTCAGCTCCTAGCCTTTCCTGAATAATGCTGTTTGTTACTATTTTAGGAACCACAGACAACAGCAAAACCTTACTTAAAAGTACACAGAAGCCTCAACTTATACAAAGGCCACCTAACGAGTGACTTCTGCAAGAGATGTAAGACTGTTGAAAAACTACTTCCCTTGATGTGTTGAATATCCTGTGTGAGACACACGACTTATTTTAGGGACGAGCCGACTGGAGAGAGAGAGGCACAGTGCGTTTGTCTCTGAAAAGGGATTTCTTTGGAAAAAGCATCTCTCTCCCCTGCAAGCCCCAGAAGCCATATTGACAACTGGAGGATTAAGACATGTTGACAATGGGAGGATTATTTCCTAACCTGGTGTGTGACAAATGTCTACTATACTCGAACAAGACATTGCCACCTCCATTTTCTCTCAAACACAGAGCCCATCACCCACCACCTAGAGCTGAGGTCCCCATGGACTACTGACTTTGCCTGGCCTGGGGTCAGCCCAGAAGGATGCAGGGAAAGTCCTAAGCAGGTGGGACAGATTGGCTGGGGGGAGAGGGGGGCCTGGGCTGTGCCACCTGGCTCAGGTGAGCTGCTCTCCCTCCTGGTACACCTCTCATGTTTTGGTTCTAGGCATTCTGGTTGCCAAAAGACAAAAAAGCTTTTGTGTCAGACAAGAAGTACCCTGGGGAAGTCCAATCAAGCAGCTTTTCTCAGAGAAGCAAAGAAGTTGTAAGCCTTGACGGGAGTGGAGACCTCAGAGGCCTCACTGGCCAGGCAGGTGTCCCCTAGCCAGGTCTGCCTGTCCTTCCTGCAAGTCCTGTTCTCTCCAGCTCCTGCCCATGGAGCCCCAGGGAACCTCCTGTGAGTTTTCACACAGGTTTGCATTTTCATCTTTCCAGTATTTCCCCCAAGAAATTAGTAGCTGCCTTTTATAAAAGCTTATGTAGCCTTGGAGGAAGAAAAACTCTGAATGAAAGCTGGAAGGGGAGGGCTGCTTTGAAAGCGTGACTGAGTGGCCTGCCACATGCACAAGAGGCTCAGGCCCCAGTGATGGGGACAGGCTGGGGGAGGGGTGAGCCCCCCTGGGTGGGGGGACTTGCCCACTCACACCCCTGCAGGCTCCTGTTCACAGGCTATTGGGAGATCACACTGCTGCTATTTACAGAGGCCACTAGCAATTTGAGGGACAAGCCACCCACAGGAGTCTTCCCGTGGTTTTAAACCGGCTTCTGAAGGCTGGCAGCAGTGACCTTGGAGTCCCTGGACTTTTGAGCTGGGCACACCACTGACCTCCCACTGTCCCCGAGGGAGCAGCTCAAAGACACAGGCCCTGAAGACTCAGGGCAGCGGGAGCTGTACACTGGCCAGAGGGGCCACCTTGCTGAGGCCCTCTGAGTCCAGGGAGCTTCAGTGTCTCGGGTGGACTGTTAGAGGGACCAAGTTGGGGGGATCCATGAGGCTTCCTTGGCCACACCGTTATAAAGTCTTGGTCATTATTCACTGATGACACTGAACAGGAAATATTAAGACAAATATCTGAGACTTTGCTCAAGGTTAAACAGTTTTGAAACCTAGGTATTGAATGTAAGCATTTAAAGACAATATTGTGATAAGGGGTCTATAACATAAAAAAGACCAGGAACCCGGCCTCCCTGTGGATGCCTGGGAAGGTGGAGACCGGCCTGAGAAAAAGGATGCAGCAGCCCAAGCCTCAGGCCCAGAGGGCCTCGAAGCTGCCTCCGCTGCCTCCTAAGCCTTGCAGTGCTGGCCACATGCTCCCAGGGCACTTTCTGCCTCAGTTTCCTCACTGCTAAAATGGGAATGACATTCTGGGACCTCAGAATCGGACAACATGTGTCCTCCCCAGAGCCCAGGCTTTGGTCAACTCAGTTCTCTGCCAGATGGCCCAGAAAAACCAACTGACCTGTAGAGATTGCTGGCCTCTCCATCCTTGCTCTGGAACACAAAACAGGCCATCCGGTCTCATTCTTTCTGTAAGAAATATCCAGAAAATGGTCACTGGCCTAGTCATTCTGACTTCAAGCTCAGCAAAGGCACTCTTGGGTCTCAGCTGAATTCCCAGGAGCCATTCTGGCCCAAAGAAGGTCTAGCTTATGGCTGACCTGATGCGGCATTAACTCCGGGCTGAGAAACTGCAGGTGGGCACACCAGGTGGGGAGTTCCGCCTGGCTGGGCAGGTGCTGCTGGTCTCGCCTGCATTTGCATGTTCCTTAGGACAAAGTGACAGGGCAGAGCTAACATTATCACAGCACTCTAAGTGCCTCTTAGCTCGCTGGATGCAATGCTTCTAGTGACAAGCTTTCAGGGACCTTTTCAGTAGAGGTGTCCAGAGGACACCTTCTCCCCTCCCCTTCACATATTTAGGAAAAACAAACAAGGAAAACAGGGGACAATGATGCAATGCATCATGCCCACAACCGAGCCCAAGCTAATCCTTAGTGCCCTCACATGCAAACCTGAGGGTTCAGAAGAAGGGAAGACTTTCAAAGGAAGCTGGAGAGGAAGGTGCCATGAGGCAAAACTCCCCTGACACCCCCCTATCCTTGAGAGGGCTAAAACAGGACATGAGCAGGAGGGCAACAGACCAGTTTGGCCCCCATTTTGAGCAAACTGTTCTGGGCCGGCCACTAACTTTTATGAGAAGCACAGGTTGGTAGGGGCCATCTGTATTCAGTAAATGTCTGTAACTTTCATTGGAAGCAAATTTTGCTTCCCAGTGAACACTTATTTCCTCTACTCCTCGAGTAGGTTCAGATCAGCAAGGTGATGAGGAAGAAGAATGCGGAGGCCCAACCACAGCCCTGAGCGGGCCGGAAGTTCTGGTGAGCAGGCTGCACACCAGGGGGCTCGCGGGGTACTCCTCGCAGCCACACGGGGGACGTGGCTAGGCATCAGCTCCGCTGGCTGTTTCTGCTTCACTCACCCACTCAATGAGCCGCCGGGTGGCTCGTGGAAGCCTATGAGGTCATGACCTAGCTTCCTGGAGGTGGGGGGCCCTGGGTGCAAAAGGGAGACCCACTCATGACATTCTATTTTATTCCTGATTTAGAAGCACCACCTTAAACTTTTGTTTTGAGAAGCCTGAATTGGCAGCAAAATTAACCTTTTAGATTATCCAGAAATTAAACTCACACTACTTCTGAAATGTCAATGAGAAAGTGTGTGAGTCCTTCACGCAAAGCAATCCTCTGGGGAGCAGATTCTGTTCTCAGAAATCACATTTGCTGCTTTGAGACAAATTACGGACCTGAAGTATGCAAAGTTGAAAAATGTAAGACAATTAAGTTCCAGTGTATAACAATGATGAGAGCTGCTTTTCCTAGCTTTTTTTCTTTCAAGCAAGCTCAACTTCTAAGTCACCTTTCAGAATTTTCCAATCCTGCGGTTCTGACGAGAGCGCTGGGCTGTGGGTCAGACAGACCCACAAACCTGGCGCCTCACCGTATGGGTTTGGGAGAGGTGCAAATTCAGCCAGCTCCTGGGGAATGGAGATGAACCAGAAGAACAGGCCACGCAGGTGCCACTAACTACTCGCCACAGCATTTGAGCCTGTTACACCTTAGTGTGTCATCCTGGCCTTGGGGACCCGTTCTGGTCGCGAGCATTCTAGAGAGTTCTTCTGACTCATCAGCTAAGGAAACTGGGTTGGACACTCCACAGACCATGTAAGTGCTGAGTCACCAGGTTGGATCAAGTACCTCGGCGGGGCACACCCCTTTAACCTTAGACTTTGAACAGAAGTCCCTTCTGACTGCCGGGCAGAAACGTGTGCCCCGACACAGCCGTACCCGCGGTCACTGCCAGCTGAAAGCGCCTACTCCCAGTAACCTTCCCATCAAACTGAAGAGCAGGCTGACAGTGGGTTGCACGAGCCAGTCATGAGGAAGGTGGGTCTTCAAACCCTTGGGTGACAGTTTCTATCCTACTCTTGGAACTTACCCATGGGGGGGGGGTGGTGGTTAGAATGCTGGTGGCAGAGGCAGTGATGTGCGAGGCTGGGGGGGCAGTGAGGCACCGGGCTTGGCCTGTGGCTCTGCTGTCTGGGCGGTCAGGATGGAGCTGAGGGCAGACTCTGCCACTGTCCAGGGGTCTTACTGCAAACAGTCCAGTGCTGTTCTCACTGCAGTGCCCTTCTCCTCCCTGGAGTAGAATCCTAACGCAAAGAAATCCTCCTGGGAGGGGCTGCAGCTCTTTGAACTCACCTAATTACCAACCCAGGGTCATCTGAAGGCGGCCTCCGGCCCTTGTTTTTGGGCTCCCTTTCAGGGTGGGTTATCCCGAATGGGATCAGTGACAAGAGTGGCCGAGCTGCCTGTCCTTCCTCACACACACACCCCACCCTCCCAGTCCTGGCTGCCGGGACTGACTCCTGACTCGTTAACTGACATTCATCAAAACACTCTCCACTGTTGCAGACTTGAGCGGCCGAGAGGTGGAAATTACTTGGCATTTCATTCTAATCTGTACTGAAGACGTGCCTGACAAAACATATTAAGCGTAAGAATTGCTGCCTCGGGAATGAAGCTATGTTTATGGCTTGCCCCCGTTTTCCTTTTCTACAGGAAAGGAAATGACACTTCTGCCCCTTGCCAGCCCCCACCCCACTGTCTTCACCCATGAAACCAACATTTAATTTTCCTTTGTGAGCAAAGCTTTTGTCAGCAATGTCTATACCATTGTAACAAACATTCTCTGTCTCTGCAACGGTAAAAAAAAAAAAAAAAGTCAACAAAACCCCAACCAGCTTTGTCTTTAATATGCTCTTATCGGTGGCATCTCCCTCGGGAGCTATCTGGGGCCCTGCAAGTGCTGGCCACAGAGCTGTGTGCAGGGGCTGTCAGGCAGCTTCTGACAAAGAGCTGCTGCCATGCTAATGGCTGCGCATAATTGCCAAGGGACAATGATGCTCCCTGCTGGAGCCTGACAGTCCTTGAGTGCAGGGTGGACGGGGCTGCTACCCTCCTTGTTCTTCAGCTCCCCAAGTTTATGCTTTTATCTTTCCAGACACTTTCACATTGTATTACAAAGTAAAAGTAATTAAAGGCTCTCATAGTGGAAGATAGACCTTTTTTTCTTTTTTGGTTGTCTCTGGAGGAGGCCGCTGCTCTGGCCAGTACTTTCTAGGCTGTGGCTGGCCACGCAGAGGACTGGGACACAGGAGGAGGACCGTGGGTGGGGCTGCTGCAGCTCGCAGGGAATCACGCACCTCGGGCGTGGCCAGTCTCAGGCTTTCTTTGCTTAGGGACCAGGTGAGCTGGCAGGTAGAGAAACCCTGTCCTGTCTTGAGTGTTCCTGGGGTGAAATCAGTGCCCTGGCCATTTGCGAGGCCCGCGCTTGATGGACTTTCTAGTCTCAAGCTTTGAAGCCTACCCCTAAGTCCCCTCCTTCTCCCCATCCTGTGTCTTGATCTTGGTGAGAGTTATGGGGGCACAGTCTCACCAGAGAGGCCTCTGTCATCCCCCGCCTTGGCTGGAAACACAAAAAGTGTGTTTGCTTCAACTCTTCACTGAATCTTTGCTGTTTGTGGGATGTTGGGAATCAGGAGTTGAGAGCAGAAGCAAGGGAAGGGTGTCCCCCTCCGCCCCTTGCACATAAGTCAGCATCAAGCCCTCTAGCCAGTTTCCCCTGGAGGGGGCAGTCACACCCTTCAAACTGTTAAACCTCCAGATGTTCTAGCCAGGGCTGCCCATGAAGCCCCCAGTTCTCGCAACAGGTGGAGGGACACAGGATTCTGAGATTCAGGTAAGGTCTAAGGTGCACCAGGGACTCAGCATCAGAGCAATGCAGGAGCCGCCCAGCTGGGTCAATGCTTCTGTCCCTGCCTGGTCAAGTTCTGCTGGAAGCACAAGAGTGGGAGTGCCATGGGAACCCACAGATACCACACTGCCCACATCACAGAGCAACTCTCTCAAGCTGACCTCAGAGGGGCACAGTCCTTTGGGACCTGGCTTGGAGGCTTAGTACCAGATTCAGGCCCTCCTTCCGCCCAGACCCCCCTCAGGCACTCTAGGCATTCACACCCCAGCAGCTCAAAGATGTAAAAATAATACCCACCCAGTTTTAAGTCATAACTTTAACCTCTAACTTTTGATTTGAGAGAGATAAATAATGTCAGAGGTACTTGCATATGGCCAGAGGTTAAGGACAGATGTGAATGGAATGGTAATCACTTGCTAGGAGTTATAGCACACCACTTGAACTGACTATAGGGTACCATCACATCATGCCTAGAAAGCATAAGCAGCATGATATTCTACAATTGTGGCAAACAGTTGTGATTTTTTTCATATAAAAATTAGGTTCCGTAAATATAAAAATTGGTTCCCCCTTAAAGAGACAAGACTTTTTTCAGAAAGTGACTTCTCAGATTATCAAATGGATTCTTCAGCTCCCTGACACAGGGCTGTGTAAGGCGCGCACAACCCACTTGTCTCCAAGAAACCACAAATGGCACCAAGTATCTCCTAGATTATCACAAAGGCCCTGTGGGCACCCACCTCCCACAGGTGCTCCCTGGCCCAAGGGGATAGGAAGGACAACAGGCAGCCCGGGGAGGGAAATGCCAGAGCAGGCGACACAGGAGAGATGCATAGCCAGCAAGTACGTGAGCCCCCAGCTACCTTTCCCCTTAGCCTGCTCAGTCCCAGCACAGCACTGTGCCATCTGGATTCTGGACATGTCACCCGGCTGCACTGAGCCGCAAGTCCCACAGGGTGGGGTCGGGTCTGACCTACTCGCCTTTGTGTTCCCTTTGCAGCCCCAAGAGCAGCACCCAGCAGGTGCTTGTTGAATGAGTGAATGGTTACACTCTTTGTTCTACAGAGCTGCCACTCCAGATCTTGGCAGTACCCCCTTCTTTGCCCAGAGCCTGGGTGTGAAGACGCAGTTTAGGAGATTCTCATGGCAGCCCCAGGAGCACAGGTAAGAACCCAGGTGTAATTATGGGTCCGATGAATAACCACAAGATGCTT